AAAGCGTTGAAATACAAAATTCATCGAAAAAATGCAGAACGGGAGATGCGTTCCATTACTGACTGAGAGATTGCCAAAGGGACCGACCAAAAGCCTTAATAACTGATAAAAGCACTGGTAGAGAAAACTAAGAAAAGGTTGGTTGATGAATGCATGAATGATCGACCCACTGACTGACTGACGGCAGGATGAACGATACATGCACAAGTTGAGTAACTGACCTTAAGACTGTCTCCTCGAACAAAAAAAACTTACCGCGGGGGCGCCGTCGATTTCGTCAATGATCAGACAATGAGGCTTCGATTCGCTATCCACTGTTCTAGCCATCTGAGTTGCTCCGTCAAGGTGTTTTTTAAAATTTTCCAGGGTACGATCGTTACTAAAATATAAACAACGTTTTTAATTTAATGACCGTAATTCCATCCTACTTTTGCGCCACGAAAGGGTCACAAGAATGATAAGTACAAACGCAAAGGGTCTCATAATTCTGCCGCTGGCATGACTCACGCTTTGCGGTAGCTGTGAACTTATAGTAAAATTCGTCGAGGTCTAGGGAAACTCGTTCAGAACATTTAGACTCATTGCACACAGGACAGGGAATATAAATACAAAACTATAAGCTTAGCTCATCTCATAAGAGATCATGGGAAACAGTACTTACCCATAGATAGTGCCTGACATGCACCTAAGCCCCGGATACAGAATTTTATAACTGTCTACTATAATAACGCCAGTTCTTTGCTATTTGACCATTTCAGATGGAAAAGATCTATGTGCCACAAATTTAAGCATTACGTACCTGGCATTCATCTCTTGTACGAAATATCCGCAGTGTCTGGCAATGGTCTGAGCTAACGTCGTCTTGCCAACACCAGGGGGACCACAGAGCAGCACCGTCTTGTACATTGGCCTTTTGTATTTGTCCAATTCCTCGCTCAGTTCAGCTACACCGCTTTCTTTGACAAACTTATGGTACTGCGACGGATAGCCGACAGATTTTCGAACTTCCCTGGAACTGGATCGCCGCCAACTTTTCTGCTTCTTAAACACGCACTGGTCCCAAAGCTTCAGCCACGTCAACAGTGTTCGATTGATACCCTATCGGCACACGATCAAGTTTTATGCAAAAAATTATGATAAATAAATTTGACAAAAATATGCTAAACGGCATATTTCCAAACACAACTTCAACAATCAGATATTGACTACCCGTTAAATTAAGGAATAATTCTCAATCGTAAAAAAGGATTTTTAAAGCAGAAATGATCAGAGACTGACAAACGTTATTTACCATTAAGGTCAAACCGAAGTCAAACTGCCTGACAAAAATTGAAGCTCTCTTATATTCTCGAAAAAGGTCATGTGTGGTACTATGCAAGTTAGTGGAATGTACATGAGGCAGGTGAAGAAGCTTAAATACTTTGGTTGCATTCACGAGAGACAAATGAAGCAGCAATTCGAAATATACAAGGAATCCATGACAAGAGTGCAGTAG